TCTCTCGCTCTCGCGCACACACACACACACGCACACACACACACACGGTGTGACTTTCAGACCCCCGCTCTCTCTCACACACACACACACACACACACACACACGGTGTGACTTTCAGACCCCCGCTCTCTCTCTCACACACACACACACACACACACACACACGGTGTGACTTTCAGACCCCCGCTCTCTCTCTCACACACACACACACACACACACACACACGGTGTGACTTTCAGACCCCCGCTCTCTCTCTCACACACACACACACACACACACACACACGGTGTGACTTTCAGACCCCCGCTCTCTCTCTCACACACACACACACACACACACACACACGGTGTGACTTTCAGACCCCCGCTCTCTCTCTCACACACACACACACACACACACACACACGGTGTGACTTTCAGACCCCCGCTCTCTCTCTCACACACACACACACACACACACACACACGGTGTGACTTTCAGACCCCCGCTCTCTCTCTCACACACACACACACACACACACAGCGTGACTCTCAGGCCCCCGCTCTCTCACACACACCCCACACGGCCTGCTGGCCCTGCCCTGCGGGCCACCGTTGCGGAATGTCCAGGACTATTCGTCCGTGGTCTCACCCCCGTGTCCCCACAGTCAGCAGTGGCTCCGTCACCGTGAACGCTGACTCCTCCGTGCAGCTACTGGCCGAGGAGGCCGTGACCCTCGACATGCTGGACCTGGGCGTAAGTGCGGGGCGGCAGGCGCAGGGCGGGCGCTGTGGGGCCCTGGGTGCCCGCCGGCCCTTGTCCACCCTTGCCATCCCTCCCTGCAGGCAGCCAAGGCCAACCTGGAGCGGGCGCAGGCGGAGCTGTCGGGGGCCGCGGATGAGGCCAGGCGGGCCGAGGTCCAGATCCTCATTGAGGCCAACGAGGCCCTGGTGAAAGCCCTGGAGTAGCCGTGCGCGTCCCGCCGGGGCGGTGTAACCAGTCCAGTGTGGGGACATAGGGCCCAGGCGGGGACCCCTCATTTCCCCATGCCCCAGCCCGACAGGCCATTTGCTGCCGGCCACCCATAGGGCCTGCCGCTGGACCAGCCAAGAACGCCCGTCCCGGCCTGCACCCCCATTAAAGACCAGGAAGTCTGCCCGGTGTACACTGCTGTCCTGTCACTGCGGCCTGGGCAGTGGGGGCCAGCCGCCGGGAGCAGGGGGAGGGCAGGGCACAGCAGTGGGTGGGGCCGGCCAAGGTCATGGGGGCCTGACCGCCCCAGGTCCTTTGCCAGGTCGGGCCTGGCCCCACCCCAGCCAGCCCTGGGAAGAGGCGGGGCCCGGCCGCGGGCCCTGCCCGCTCCCACGGAGGCCCTGGCTGGCCAGACGCCCAGACTGGTGGTGGTGGCATCTGGGCACCAGTGCTGGAGGTGCGGCGCTCCACCGCTGCCATGCCTACCCCACGTGGGGACCACTTGCCTGGCTGCGGGTGTCCGGCTGTGTGGGGTGGGCAGGGGATTCCAGGGGAGTGAGTATGCGGAGCCGCTGACAGGCGGCCAGCCCCAGGGCCTGTCAGCCAGGACGAGCTCGCTGTGTCACTGTCCCGTGTGAGTGACTCCCCAGGCCGCATGTGGGCTCTGGACGCCTGAGCGGGGTGTGTTCCTGGAGACCTCAGGCCAGGCCTCCTCCAGCCTGTGGCTGGAGCCTGGGCCGGCCAGGCATTGGGGGGGAGAGGGCTCGGCAGGGGCCTGGCATGGAGGTGGGGTTGGTGCACCCCATGGCTGGAGGCCTGGGCGCGCCCGCCCG